GCTTGCCAGGCAGGCGCTTGTGCCCCTGAGCTATATCCCCAGCCCTCTCTAATTTTTTTGAGGCACTGCCAAACTGCTTTCCAAAGTGGCTGCACCATTCTGAAAGTTTCTTCTCTGTGCTTTATACTTTTCTAAGTTATATGACTGTTAGGATTGATTTTAGGATTATAAACTGAATCTCTTCTGACAGAAATGCTTTTTATAATGTTAAATTTATCTAAAGTAGTCCAAGTGTCTAATTTACAATAACCTTATTTTTAGTATATTGCATCAAGTCCAAAATGGAATGTAATAGATGAAGCTATTAATTTTGTTTACAGAGTGGGAGGCTAAGCAAAGAGCTGGACTTAGTAAGTCACCATGTGAGGACAAAACTTGATGAACTGAAAAGGCAAGAAGTTGGAAGGTTAAGAATGCTAATTAAAGCTAAATTGGATTCGCTTCAAGGTGAGTGCTAAAGAAAATGTAGGAATGCTTCAGTGTGTGGTTGTTGATGTCAGTTTACATGAAATACACATACCATAGCCTTTTTTGGGGTGGAGGCAGGGTTTCGCTATGCAGTTCAGGCTGGCCTTGAGCTCGCTTTGTCACCCAGGCTGTCTCAAACTCACAACAATCCTCCTGCCTCAGCCTCCCAAGTGCTGGGACTATTGACTTTTTTTTTTTAATACTGGGAATCATACCCAGGGCCTCACACCATATCCTAATTATATCAACAAAACAGGAGGATGAAAACCGTAAACAGTAGGAAAATTCAACAAAGTAAACATAACCTAAAGTATATTTTTATGAGGATAAACAGTGGCTAACTAGAAGATATACTAAATGAAAATACTCCATTTACAATAGGAACAAGTATAAAATACTCAAAGTAAACCTGTTAAGAGAAATGCCTGCCTCAGCCTCCCAAGTGCTGGGATTACAGGAGTGCACCACCATGCCCAGCTTCAAGTTAACTCTAAAATTCATGGGGAAAAAAAGAAGTAATAAAAGATGGATACCTCTGGAAAAAAATAACAAAGAAGGATTAGACAGTAGATATTAAATCTTTCAATTATTAGTTCTTAATATATAGTCATATTATCTACAAATATAGATGGTTTTATCATCTCTTTTCCAATTACTTTACCTCTGATTTTTTTTCATCTGTATAACTGTTTTGGCTAACACCTCACAGACAATATTATTTAGTAATGGTTATGGTGGACCTCTTCATCTTGTTCCTAATTTTAATTAAAATATGTACTTGTGTTTTCCTGCTAATACTTGATATTACATCTTTAATATTAAATATTAAAATATGGCTGGGCATGGTGGCACATGCCTGTAATCCTAGAACTCAGGAGGCTGAGGCAGGAGGTTCACCATGAGTGTGAGGCTAGCCTGGGCTACATAGTAAGTTCAAGGCCAGCCTGAACTACATAGCGAGACCCTGTCTCACAAATAAAACAAAACAAAAAAACCCACAATTAAACCAAAAAATTAAAATATATCTTTAAGCCATGGTCATTAAAACCATCTGGTTTGGCATATTGATAGAAAGACCAGAAGAAGAGAATAGAAATTCCAGAAGGAGAGTTAAATACATAATGAGATACAGGTTGCATCTCATTTTTATTGGTGTAGAGAAATTTTTTAGACAAATAGCATTGGTACAACTGGCTAGCCATTTAAACAAAGGTATAGTTAGATCCATTTCTCCTGTCCTTTTTTTTTTTGACAGGGTCTTCTTGTGCCTTTGTTCAGGGTGGCCTTGAACTCTGTGTAGTCCAGGCTGGCCTCAGCAATCCTCCTGCTTCCTGGGGTCTGGGGATTTAGCTCAGGGGCGCAGCTCCTGCCTGGCAAGCTTAAGGTCATGAGTTCGATTCCTGGTACTGGAAAAAAAACCAAAAAAAAAAAAAAAAAAATCCTCCTGTATCTAGAGTGCTAGGATTACAGGCATGCGCCCCCATGCCCAACTCATTTCTCCTATCCTTTGTCAGAATAAATGTAAATGAGTCCAAGATTTAAGTGTAGAAAATGAAATCATAGAAGTAGGTGTCAGCATAGGTGCATTTCCTTTTTTATCTTGGAATGGCCTTTCTAATTATGAGTCCAAATCAAAAAAGCTGGATTTGGCTAGTGTGAGACCTTTCAGGCTGTCTTATATGTCCTTGTGATGTGCCCATATAGGCTGGCTATCTGGGTGATTTACTGTCATTGATAAATATCTCAACATTTACTCTTGCTGGAGTAGTGTTTTTTAACTTCAGGTTGGTTAAGAATCACTTGGCTTAGGGGTTGGGGATATATATAGATCACCAGCACAAGTGCCTGCCTGGCAAGTGCAAGGTCCTGAGTTCGATTTCCAGTACCCCCCAAAAAAAAGAATCTCTTGGCTTATTAAAGATACTGTTAAAAATACAGATTACTCTAAGAGATGGAGGATAAAGGGAGGGCAGGAAGGGGAAGTATCGAAACCGGGTTAAATAACCCTAAGTTATTGCAGGTTGATCAGGCCCGCAATCTCCCAAGCGAGTGGATGTTGAAGGCTTAAATAAATGAGAAAATGTAATGATTTCAGGGCACCAGGAGGGACTAACTCTCTTCCAGCTTCAGTATTCTCTGAGTTAGCCAAAGACTGCTCTGGGTGGCCCATATTTATTAGATTTTCAAACAAAGGGAGAGGATGCTCAAGAAAACATGGGAATCTCACAGGACCTTGGGAGAATTTTCCCAAGTAGTAAATTATGAACTATGTTATCTCCAGGAAGGCCTTCACAGCAGGAATGAGATGCCTGCAGCTGCAGCCTCCTTTAAGTTAATTGGGGTTGGAGCCAGACATCCTCAGCTGTGGCCTTCAGGCAACTCACAAGTAAACATGGAAAGCCAATTGGTTACTGTTAAATCCTGCTCACAGACACTTTGTAGTGGTCCCCAACAGGGAAGTAAATAGAATTAAGATGTGCTATGTACATGCACCACCTCCCATAATGATTGTGATCATTATGTACTGCAAACATGTACTAATAAAAATGTAAAATAATTTAAATGCAGATTTCTGGATCTCACTTCCAGGGAATCAGTTCCGAGAATGAGTAATCTGCATTTTAAACATGTACATCTGTTCATTGCGTCATATTTAGAGAAATGTGTGTGGAACATTAAGCAGCCTGATGGTGAACAGTCTCAGAAAACCAGTACCAAATTCTGAAATTAGGGATGTCAGTATGAAGTAACCTGCTGTAGCCAACATGCAAGGCAGTTCCATCCTCAAGGCCCAAGGTGTATGGATATTTTTTTCCCTTTAGGCAACTTCCATCTCCTCAATCTCCAGAGTATTTTCTTACTTCCAAGGCAGGTGTTAAATTTCGTTATCTAAAGAAAATAATCTGGTATGAATTAGAAAATTTATGAATATTTTCTTAATGATGCAGAAATTATGAATAGAAATTTCTGATAATTTGAAGAATTTTTAGGGTTTTAATTTTTGTTTAATTTTAATTTAATTTAATTTTTAAATTTTTAAAAAATTTTTTAAAATTTTTAAAATTTTAAAAATTTAATTTAATTTTACTTTTTGGTTTAATTTTTAAAGTAGGTCCATTCACCAGGATTAAAACTAGAATGGATAAAAAAAGTACAGAGCAACTGGGGTTGGTGTCACACTCCTGTAAACCCAGCACTCTGGGAGGCTGAAGCAGAACGATTGCAAGTTCAAGACCCACGTGGGCAACTTAGCAACTTGGTGAAACCCTGACTCAAACTGAAAAAAATAAAGAGCTGGAAGTGTAGCTTAGTGCAGAGGTCAGGGTTTCAATCCCTAGTATTGCCAAAAGGAAAAAAAAATAGCAAAATTCTACCTGATATTTTTGCACTCTAAACAAATACAATAAAAGTGCTTTTATACAAAAAAAAAAAACCATATAATACACATTTTGTGCAGTGGTTTTCCTTTTACAATACATTTTGGAGGTCTTTCTGTGTTAGTTCAGGAGACCATCTTTATTATTCTTTTCTTTCTATTATTATTATTATTATTATTTACAGCTGAGTAGAATTTCATTATGTAGATGTACCATAATGTGTTTAACCAGACTCCTCTTGATGGACATTTGGGTTACTTCTAGTGAATAATATTGTATTACATCACTATGTATCCATCTAAGATGATCTGTATGAGGCTCTGGGGATGTAGTTCATTTGCAGAGCATTTGCCTAGCAGAAGCATGGTCGTGGGCTCAATCCCATTTGGGGGTAGTGGTGGTTAGAAATTGCTAAGTAAAAAATATTATTAATATAATATATATTTTATATATATATATGTAGTTTTCATAGATATTCCTACTTTTGCCCCTGTAGAGGTTTTATCAATATGTACATATACCCACCAGCAAAATTCCAAGTTTTGCAATTCTGTTAGATGGTGTAATTAATGCAGTTTTTAACATGTATTTCTCTTATTTAGAGTAAGATTAAGTATCTTTTCATACATTTCACTGTTTGATCATATTCTTCAGGGCAAAATCTTACAACAAATCTTTTCTTTATAAGTTAAACTACAGTAGTACAGGGCCGTACTGAGAATTCAGTGAAGGTAGGCATAGTGGTTCATATCTATAATCCAAGCTACTCAGGAGGCTAAGGCAGGTAGATCCCAACTTTGAGATCATTGTGGACAACTTATCGAGATGCTGTCTTGAATAAAAACAGTATAAAAGGGTTGGGGCATATAGCTCAGTAGTAGAGCCCTTGGCTAGCATGCTTGAGATCCTGGATTCAAACTCCAGTACCACCAAAATAATAATAGTCATAATAATAATTTGATGAAGACTTAGCTCACCTAAACGTATCCATTCTTTACTTTCTGGCATAGCAGTATGTTCCCTTATCGCGTACGTCCTCTCCTCCTATCCCTGGAATCAGCCATTTTCCTGAGTTGTTTGCTTGGTTCATTTTAGCCAGGAATGATGTTATAGACCAAAGTCTATGAATTCTTCTTGCTACTGGAGAGTATTTTCTTCTTGACACTTTCATCAGACAGAGCCATGAACATATACAACCCAAACACACACACACATCCTCATACATGTACATATACATGTTCCATATACATCCTTTAAGTATCCTAAGTTCACAGACAGTGCTAATCCCCATCCATCTCCACAGAATTCTTTTTTTATATATGGGTGTGTGTTGAGGTTGGTCTTGAACACCTGGATTCAAGTGGTCTTCTTGTCCCAGGCTCTCAAATAGCTGGGATTACAGGCACGTGGCACTGTGCCCAGCTTTCCATAGAATTTTCCTTGTCTTCTGCCATTCCATACTTGTATATTCCATTTTCCTGAGAGCCCTGATCTCCAATGTCAACACAAGTGCCCTTTTTATTCAGTTGAAATAATCCAGAATTGCACCAATTTGGACCAAAATTGCACCCATTTTGGACCAAAATTGCACTCTTTTTTTTTTTTTTTTTAAATTTTACAGAGTAAAAGAAGGATAACATACTAATAGGGGGGCTTATCGAATTACTGACAAAGTGATAGGAAATTATCAATGGTTGTTGTTTTACATATTGTTATCTACAAGGTCATTTCTCAGAAAACAAATGAACAATAGTGAGTTACAGACAAAAGAGGTAGGTTATTGTCAATGCTTGTTGTACTATACTTTGGTATCTTCAAAGTGGTTTCTAAAGAAAATAAATAGAGCTGTATGAGTGACCAATTGAATATTCATTGACTATTCTCAATGGTTGTTGTAGGAAACACATAGTAATAAACATACATCCATTTACAAAATAGAATAGGAACAATACAAACATTACAGAGTTATGGGCAGATTAGTAGGAAAATATCAATGGCTGCTGTAAGACATGGTGGTATCTTCAAAGTGGTTTCTCAGGAAGACAGAGATACGCAAGAAAGATCTAACAAGTAGTTACAGCCTAAGGGTTGTGAAAAATAGCTGTATTACCTCCTCACCAGTGACTCCTTTCACTGAGGTGTGATGGCTGGAAGGAAGGCCAGGATTGAAAAGAAGGACCGAGAGACTTGCACCTGTGTCTAGCGACAGGCTGTTTTTCTTTTTCCTGTATAGTCATGATTACCTGGGGCTCCTCCATGGAGATGACAGTCTGGCCAGAGGGAGAAGGCAGAGTATGCCCCAGGCCCCCTCATTGCTGTTAGACTAAGTGGTAGGATGGGTCTGAGCTCTGGGGCCTTTGCTTCAGAGGGCAGACCGATCTCCAGTGGTCACCTCTGCATTCAAGGCATGGCCCAGGGGGCTTCTTAGGGCAGTTCCTCTTGAGGTGGCCTGGCTTTTAGTAGTGGTAGCAGATGAATGTAGTCATCGAGTTCTTCTTGGGGCCCTGAGAATCAGACTTAGGGTCTGTTTCTCTTAGTGCTGCAGCAAAAGTAGCTGCTTTTTCTTGGTCTCTTTGTTTTCTCTCCTTGGCCTCCTCCTTGTCACAGCTATAGAATACTGAGGAGGCAATTCTTGCTAACATCTCAAGTGAGCCATCTGGGGCAAAAGCCATTTTTTGTAGCTTTTTCTCTCCAGCCTCCCAGCGCATTGGGACCCCGCAACCAGTTAGTGTCCTCTGCCCAACTGTCAGCACAGGCAGCAGGAATCTTGGTGCAGACCTCTTCGGAGCTCCATGTGCTCCTCCACCGCAGCCTGTACTGTCAAGAGAAGAATGACTTCCAGGGGGTCTCCCCAGGTATTGCATAAGGTCCTCCTGGTTTCCAGCTTCTGAACAGCTCTCATGACCCCAGTCAACTAGAACTCTGAGTCTTTGGGCGTAGTCTGTGTTCTTGTGTTCTCTGCGTCCTTGTTCAGCAGCTGCTCCTCCGCTGACTCTGGACCTTTCTGGTTCTCAACGACAGGAGCAAGAGCGACCGTTGTGTGGCGTGTATTCCCAGGGGTTTCTCCCTGTCAGCATGATTCACACAGGTCCCCAGGAGGGCCTCTGCGGCTGGCATGTGGCAGGCCAATTGTGTCATTGCTTCTCTGTGCCATGATAGTTCTCGACTGTATGGTGGTGGTTGGTTTGGGGGCTGGCGCATGCCAGCGCGCACTGCCAAACAGCTTCCAGGCACCGGCATCCTGCCTCCCGGGCGCCTGCGTGGCTAGGGTCCGGCCCACAGGTCGGTGCTTACTGTGTGCACTTTTGGTTTTTAAATTTTTAAAAGAATGACAATTGATGTTTCTTTTTTTTTTAAAAAAGTTATAATTCAGTTGAAGTTACTTGGATTTCATTTGTTATTGTTACATGAACGATTCCTTGGAACAGCATACACAGAATGCAGTTCTTTGTAACAGCAATTGCTTTGTCTAAGTTTTTGCACAATTAATTCTTTTAAGAAGTTCTGTTTAGCCAGGTGTGGTGGTACACGCCTGTAATCCCAACACTTGGGAGAATCGTTGTGAGTTCGAGACCAGCCTTGGCTACAAAGTGAGCTCAAGGCCAGCCTGAACTGCATAGAGAGACCCTGTCTCAAAAAGACCAAATAAATAAATAAATAAATAAAAATAAAAAAAGAAATTCTGTTTAGAACTCTTAGAATTCTGTCCCTTTGATGAAGGAACTATGTTAGTTTATCTAATTATAAGTGGTATACTTGGTAGTTTGAAGATGATAAAAATGTTTTTTGTTTTTTTTTTTGGTTTCTTTTTTTTTTTGGTTTTTCTCCGGTACTGGGAACCGAACTCACGACCTTGCGCTTGCCAGGCAGGTGCTTTTGGCCGCTGAGCTAAATCCCCAGCCCCTGATAAAAATGTTTTTGTTATTAGGCTGATAGTTGAGTAGTCTTTCTAGATATAACATAAAGATATGCACATTAAATTGTATTCTGTTTAGAGCCAAGGTTATTACCTTTGCCTAGAATAACAATAGGCAATAATAATAGGCCAGAAAAATATGAACCCTTGTTCATATAAATTTCAGTGGAATAAATTTCAATGCTTTTCCTTATATATTATTTATATTCATGTTTCCAGTGCCTATTAATTGATCATTACAGTTTTCTTATTTTTTTTCAGATGTAGGCATGGACCACCAAGCTCTTCTAAAACAATTTGATCACCTAAACCATATGAATCCTGACAAGTTTGAATCCACAGATTTAGATATGCTAATCAAAGCGGTGAGAACAATTCCAAAAATTGTGGTCTTTGCTGTATTTTTATAGTTTTGTAATTTAACGAGTAAACTCAAGTGAAAACTGAAGTAGAAATATAACTTTTATATATTCTGTAGAATATGGTGGTTTTGTTTTGTTCTCTTTTTTTAGGTGGTACAAGGGATTGAACCCAAGGAGTTATATCTCTCATCCTTTTCTGGTGCGAGTAGGGGGGATAGGGTATTGTTCAGTTTCTGAATTGCCCAGGCTGAGCTGGAACTTGCAAACCTCCTGCCTTACTTCCAGAGTACTGAGATTTCAGGAATGAACCACCACCCCCAGCTAGAATGGGTATTTTTTTTTTTCCCCTTTTGGACAGTTTGCTTTGTGTATCCAAACCATCAAGGCCGACCCTACAGCCACAAGCCCAGCACACAGAAGCAGCATAACAGGCTCCCTGGCCCCACAGCATGGCTGTGTGCACACAGGACTGCCACTACATGTGACAGACAGTGGACACCCGAGACCACAAGTGCGTGGTGCACTAGTGGCAACACCTGGGGCCAGCAAGGCCACAGGGAGGCTCGTTGGCCTCTAGGGTAACGCATGAGCAAAAGCTTTGGTTCATGATGGTGAGTCTGGCTGTTTTAAGGGCAATACTCATGGGCAAATGACTTAGAATGGGTATTTTTAAAGGAAGGTGGCATATCAGTACAGTTTCAGTATGAAAGTACAGACCTATAATCCCTTATCCACAATTCCAAAATCCAAAAAGATGAAAAAGCTAAAATTTGGCTGGCCTGAACTAACCAATTACAGAAATGTTATTTGTAGTCTTTACCAAGGTTACTTAGTGTATTTATAGATTTCTTTTTTGTT